AACATTTTTGCTAAGTAATAGATTATATATCTTTTGCAACAAAAGTGTTGGAAATTAAAATTATCTGCATATTTAAAGATTTGGGTAAGCAATTCATAGAATTTTATAATAAGTAGTTTTGTATTGTGATTGGAGTACAGTACAGCATGCGGAAGGAAAAGGGATCACCCTTATCATAAGCATCATTTTTAGGTCAATTTTTAGGTATTAAGATGTAATCTAATAACGACTGAAAAAATATTGAGTTATAAATATTAAGACGGATACTCCAGATATGAAAATGTAAAAATGTGATTTCTTCACAAATTTTTTTGTTTGAAAATATTGCTCATACTTTTCTTTGACATTTTTTCAAATAAAATTACTTAGTTTGAAATAATGCAAAAAAATATGCTTTAAAATTCTTTTTTTTTTTAAATTTGAACAATGTATAATTTATAAAAAATTATTCTTACATGGAAATACCTTAGTACAAACAAGTTTTATAATAGAGTGAAAACAACTTTTAATTCACTTAAATAATCTAAAAATGGCGAATTTCACTAAAAGTAAAATAAACATTAAGGAATTCAAATTTTCAGTCACACTCCTGGAGCCATATTATAGTTTGAACCCGTCAAACACATGAATTGCATATTAGTATGCTGAAATCTGATTGTTAGATCAAAAGTTACTAAGAATGATCCTATTGTTTTCAGACTTATGTGATGCAGCGTCTACTTTCTTCATAATTATAATTTTAGTCATGTGTTTTCTTAATAACTTAAATCATTTCCACCACTTTGAATTGCATACTCATATCGATAATCATTGTTCTAAAAATTCATACAAAATACCTATATATAGAGACCAAAGAAAAATAGTATAAGTTGAATAAATTTGCAAATATTTTGTTGACATTTTCTAAACTTCGAATGTGCATGTATTTTTACAGTAACTAAAATTGACCATACTAAGTGAACTATACAAAAGAAAAATTATAATAAATTAACAGAGTAAATAAAAACGAACATCCTATGTATGTTCACCTTAAAAATGATTCGTAATCTGAACTATCACAGTTATAAGTGCTCCATATTGGAGCCATTACTAAGAAGTGATAAATTAAGATACACAATTATAATTTTACCTCGATTTCAAAGTTTACTTGTTCAGTTTAACGATACATGCATGTAGAGGTGAAGGCATACTTTTTTAAATATGTAAGTTAAGAAAGTTCATCGTCAGTAGAAAAACAAAAAAATTAGCAGTTATAACAGTAAATAAATATTAAGGAATATTGAAAGAATTTACCTATTATTACACACACTACTTACTTGCAAATACAATATATCCGAAAATTTTAAAGAAAAATGATAAGATAAATTATAATATTTTCAAGATAAAAAAAAAAAAAGAAAAATTAAGACTTAAAACGCAATCAAGACTTAAGGTGAAGAAACTGCTGTGGAATATTTCTGTATTGAATCCTCATTAAAATAAAGAGGAACTGCCTGGTACTTTTCCAAGCAAAAATAATAATAAAAATTTAAAAAAATTAAATAAAAGACATATTGTAGGTTATGAGCTCAATCCTACAAATTCGCTACTTTTTTCTTTTATTAAGATGTTAATTTTTTTTTCTTGCATACCACTGCCCACTTGTTGCCAAAAGCAGACAACCACTTGGGCACATGATCCTGAACCCAATTCTTCCTAACTGATTTTGTTGATAAGCTATGCCATATTCAGCCAGAAATAGCAAAGTAAAGCTATTTTTATTTTATTTAAAATCAAGATTAGATCAACAGAAAAGGTAAATTCTCTATCAATAACTGTCCATGCTAGCTGAACTTACTATGGCAGAAAATGCCACTGTCATGGGGATCAGCAAGAGGGGTAAGGAAAGTGTACTTCCTCACAGAAAATTCAACAAATTAAAAAATATATTTTGAATCTAAATGTTTTATAAGTAATTAAAAATAATTAGTGTCATATTGATAACACTTTAATTCATACACTGCGAATGTAAAAATTGCATTCATTTTTCAAAAAATTGTTCAGTTCATCAGGGATTCTGGACATAGTAAGTTGTAATTTTTTTAATTTTCCAAATGGTCATAGAAGTTAAAAGCCTCTTTCTATTTTCCAACTACAAAAGGTTCTGACCAAAGAAAAATTTTTTACACTGAAATATCCCTCTTGAATTAGATCAGATAAAAATGATCCTTCATACCATAATTTTCTGGTTATAAGAAAAGTATTAATCTGAAACACAATTATAAAAAATAAAAAAAACAGTTTGAACATTTGATTTGGAAACAATAAAAATATAAACTATTTGCTAAGAAAAAACTTTAATAAAAAGTTGCAAATTTTTTGTGCTGATACCTTAATTAAAAAATTTGTACAAATACAAACACTATTTTCATTAATTTTGTATTGAAATCTCTTATTTAATTTTTCTTTGGTTATACAGATTAATAAATAAAATTATTTAAATTTCCAATTCACACTTGTAATAATAACTTTAAATAATAAAAAAAAAATATTTGTCCATGATCTTTTAAAGTATTTTATGACTATTATTTCTGGTTGCGATCTCCCAAGAAAGTTTTCAGAGGAACCCAATTCTTATATTAATAAAACAGGGTTGGAGTTTTTGCCGGCAAAAAGGGGTTTTTGCCGGCAAAAAGGGGTTTTTGCCAGGACAGTGGCAAAAACCTGGTAAAAACCTGCAAAAACTGGTAAAAACCGGCAAAAACCAAATTATCTAAATTGCTGATTAAATATTATTACAAAATACTTGAAACAAATTTAAATCAATCATAAGGAATAATAATTTTGATACATTACATGAAAAAATTATTTTTAACATATTAATAATTAATATAATGGTAATAATTTTTAAAAGATTGAAAGTTTGTGATCTCTTTTCATTTTAGAATCCTAAAATAAATGTTTTTTTACAAATAAATAAATATTATTATTTGTATAATATTATTATTTATTATAAAAAATTATTATTTGTACAATAATTAACTACATATATTGATAGATATTTTATGCTTTAAATTATAGTTATATTAATTTAAAATAAGCTCATTTCACTGGGAAAAAAAGAATAATCACAAATTTTCCAATCAATAATGTTTTAAACTACTAAAATGATATATTATTACATTATCATTTAATTATGGAATAATAATTTTGTTAATTTTTTTGTAATTATTTATATTTATAGTATATATTTCAATTTTAGGAATAATGTTGTATCAAAAATGTGTTTTTGTCCTCTCATCTTGGAAAATATAGGTTTTTGCCACTTTTTGCCAATTTGCTTGGCAAAAACCTGTTTTTGCCAGGACGGTTTTTACCGGTATTTACCATGGTTTTTTCCACCTGCGGCAAAATCTTGCCAACCCTGTAATAAAATAATACATGTATAATAAAATAATAAATATGTAATTAATTAAAAATATAATAAACAAAAATATAATAAACAAAAATTCAATGAAATAAAATCTTAACTATTAAAATAAACTTATAACACAAAATAAAAACTAACACATAAATAGTTGAGTGGAGATAGGGGTTGAAATTCGCTTTAAAACTAACAAGTTACTACTTCTATTTGATTTTTATGCTTAAAAGCCAGAAAAAGCGTGTTACCCAATATTATTATACTGTTGTTGTTGTTTCTAATACCACTTGACAACCAGTAAGCCTTCCTGGTCAAGGCTTGTTTTTTAGTGGTGGAATCTAAGGCCAAGAATAGAACTACAGCTACACAAACCTCACAGCTCGTTTATAGAGTGGACCCAATCATAAGTCCATTTATTCATCCACAGATCGTAATTTTGACCTGAACTAGAGAAAGATGAATCTCCGATTCAATATCCCCAGAAGAATAATTTATTATGGGAACGTGGAGAACTTAGTGACTAGACAGATTTAATGTGCACCAATCACCATTTACTATGTGGGAAGTCTTTGGCCAGCAGGATAGAACTCACAGCCTCTTGGACATGGGCCCAATGTCCTACCAACTAGGTTATCCTGGCTATATCATAATACAGTAGAGAACCGATTATCTGGAACGATCGGGACCATCGCTATTCCGGATAACTGATTTTCCCGGTTTTCGGAATGGCTACAAAATGCCGTTTTTTTATTGTTAAACCCAACTAAAAAAAAATAAATACATTTTGGAAATAATCTTAAAAAGAAGAAAAAACAATGAAGTAATACACTAATGATTATTTCCAAAATGATGGTAAGGTGAACATCTTTCAAAAAAGAAAGAAAAATCCTAAAATCCTATGAGGAAAAAAAAAAAATTTTTTTTTAAATGGAGGGAAAATTAATCGAATTTCATTCCGGTTTTCTGATTTCCGGATAACGGGTTCTGTACTGTACTAGTTGTGTTGATAACATGTTCCTTCAATTTAAATGAAACAACAAATCAATTAGGAAGAATCCGTAAGCATGCTATAATGCTACCCAATATATAACAAATTGGGAACGTTTACATAAAAATATAGATAAACAATGGATAACACTCAAAACATGACAAACTTTACACTTTAGTTATGTTATATTAATTTTCTTAAATTTGTTTTAAGCTCACAATCTGTTAGAATTTATAAATTACTGAAAACTCTCTTAAATGGGAAAATTACACGTCGATTTAAACACAAATCACAATAATAAAACTTTCTAGTATATTAAGCCTTTCATTTATTGCTTTCTAAACATAACATAATCGGCAGGATATACTGAGAGTTTTCTAAAATTTCTTTATGTTTCAGAAAACTTGTTATTGTTTACATTCAGTCAGTCCACCACAGCAATTTACCCAAGTTAGGTTTTACCCTTCGAATTTGCCAAATTCTGAGACACTTCATTTTTTAAAAAATTTTCTGCATGTTGCCATCAATACTTCGCAATGGTTTTGGTACATGTACTGATATGGAAATCTTTCCCAACATATAGCACAAATAAAATAAACAAAAAATGTATTCTAGCTATATTAGTAATTTATTAAAGAAATTATTTTCGTTCGTAATTAATGATCTTGAACTACATTACTCAAATGAGTATTTAAATGCTTATATAAGCTGCTTTTGTTTATAAAACTTTTATTACACACACTACAAGTGTAAGAAATCTTATCATGCACAGCGTAATGCCTTTTCAAATGAGGTTTAGTAGTAAAACCTTTATTGCATACATCGCATGAAAAAGGTTTAATTTCAAAATGAGTTTTAGAATGATACTGAAAAAGAGTATTGTTTCTGAATGTTTTACTACATATCTCACATGAATAAGGCCTTTCTTCTGTGTGGAAGCGATAGTGTTCCTTAAGATAAGATTTAGTTGAGTAACTCTTTCCACAAACACTACAAGTACATCTGTTTTCTTCAGAATGAATTTTGTAATGTCTCCGTAATGACCCTTTACGGCTGAAAGTCTTACTACAGATGGAGCAGGCATGTGGTTTTTCTTCGGTATGAACAACAATGTGATCTCTTAAACCACTAACTTGAGTAAAACTTTTGTTGCATACATCACATAAGTAAGGTTTTTCACCACTGTGTACACGAAAATGTATGCCAAGTGCTTTTTTAGTTTTAAATCTCTTCTCACACTCACAGCAAACATGACACTTTTCGTTCGACGTCATATTAAACATCAAATTTAAATTTACGTGGCAAAAAAAAAGGTTCATTTAGTTGTACTATTACAAGAGCGACATGCTGACGGTTTGTTTATTTTGAGTGCAGATTGTAGAAGAGTGCGACGAGCTCCTTGTATTAGCTTATAGCTTTGTGTTTCCGTTAATGTTGTTGCTGTTGTTGTTGTAGCTCATTTACGTTGCACTAGAGCTGCACAATGGGCTATTGGCGACGGTCTGGGAAACATCCCTGAGGATGATCCGATCACATACCATCACAATTTTGATCCTCTGCAAAGGGGATGACACCCCCTCTTCGGTAGGCACGATCTGCACGCGAAGTCAAGCACTTTACGGTAGAACAGTATAAAGAGAACCCATACCGCACACTCTCGGTCCCTACTCAGACTGATCCAAGTGGTCACCCACACACACACTGACCGCAGTCAGTGATGCCTGACTTCGGTGATCTGCTGTTAACCGTGTCTTAACGATCAATCCACTAGCTGGAGGTTGTAGTAATAAGTTAGAAGCGGTTTGTGGTTTGAAGGGATTTGTGTTTGGTCCGAGGATTAAAAAACGATATCCAAGGGCGGATTAAGCTTATGCGGGGCCCTAGGCCGTTCAACTTTTTGGGGCTCTTAGATTAAATTTTTTTCTCGTATATTTTTTATTTATTCAAATATAAAAGTATTTATATATCCTTTCATTTAAGAAAGCATATTTAAAATTAAAATAAATAATAATAAATTAAATTTTACTTTATTTTATTAAATTAGAACTAAAAAATAATCATAAAATTTTGAAAAATCATTGTTTTTCTTAATTCATTTTCAAAAAATCCATTTTAAGGGGGTCCCTAATCATTGGGGGCCCCAGGCCATGGCCTAGTCTGGCCTTATGGGTAATCCGGCCCTGACGATATCGGTATTCACGATATCGGTATATGCTGCATTCAGAAGCGATAAAGACTGGTAAAGTTCTTTCCGAGCGTTCAGGAATGAGGAAGTGATCATTTGTGTCGATAGCTCCGCAGTACGGACAGTTTGGGTTTTGTATCAATTTACACTTGTGTAAAATCGCAATTGTCGGGAGAGATTTAGTTCTGAGCCTGGCTATTGGTACATCGAAGTTTCGGAAGCTGATTAGTGGACGGTGATCTTGAGATCCATCAAGGTAAGGGGAGGTAAGGAAGTATTTGCAGCCCTTCTATACACAAGCTTGACTGTGTTCTTGAGGTGATGAAAGATGAGAAATGAAATTTTGGTTTAGGGCTTGTATTGCAAGCTGGTCTGCTTGTTCATTTTCTCTTATTCCAATGTGAGCTGGAAACCAAATAAATGAGAGAGATCTCACTGCCTGACTTGATTTGACAATTTGGTTGCGAAGACGAAGGGAAATTCTGGGAGATTTCCGGGTGCCTTTTTTGAGAGACAGAGGATCGAACGGCTATCCGTCAGACAGATATAGTGGCCGTTGCTTGTAGAGCAATTTAGTTTGAGGGCTAAGAAAAGGATCAATCCTTCGGCTGTAAAGATCGATGTATGAGAAGGAAGACGACCTGAGATCGCGTACCCTTTAGAGTTATATATTCCCACGCCAATTTTGTCTTTTAATCCCTGGAGCTTCTCCTGGGTAGAGATCCTCGTCATGCATAATTTCTGCTTCACTGTCTTCCATTTAATACGGACGTGAGAGGTTCTCGTGGTCTTCCTCTCCATGTAACGCAAACTCGGGTTAGTTCCATCAAAAAGTCCTCCACGAAGGCAAATTTATCCTAATACTTAATACAGAAGTTCCCTTGTCTTCTGGATTAGGTTCAAAGTTACAAGGCTACGTAGTTGAGTATTAGTAGTCGTAAACAATCGTGCACCTTAGAATTCGAACGAGCTATAAAATATTTCGAGAACAAATACTCTTGGTGGAACAAAGGCCTAGAATCTATTTCCCACGTCGAATTCTTAAAGCGTCTACCAACTACCATCCTTTACCTGCAATTAATATCCTGTTCTGCATCTCAACGTGGTACGAGGGTGTAACACCAGTCCATCAGGTGGCTAACGCAGACAGAGGCTGCGGTAGACAGAAGACAGCCTTTTGTGCTGACTATAGCACTAATCAACAAACTTTTTTAAATCATTGTGGGCTCTAGGTCAGAAGTTCATACATGAGTGAAAGTGAGGAAGGGGATTCTATCTCGGAGGACTTCGACGAGTCTTTCGATTTGCCACAGAAAGAATGGTCGAGGGCATCAGAAGAGTTGAACGAACGTTTTCTAAACTTTATTAAGGAGAACTTAAATTAAAGAAATTGGAAGTTATGAAATTATATGAACTAACAAAAATCGCCCTCACGTACAACGATCTTGTTAGCAAGCAAAAGAAAGTCTTCGCCTACACGAAAGGGCTCCTAGATGAAGCACAAAATGCCTTAAAACAAATAATCCAAAAAAGGGCTGAAAAAGCGCAAAAATCATATGCGGACATCGCAAAGAGCACCACATAAGTTGGAGTCCCTAAAGTGGGGTCAGACCACGTCTTCGTTGTGCGAAAGGCAGCGTCTTGAATATCAGAAGAGATGGAAAGGTCACTGAAAGCACGCATTCAATCTAACAGAATTACAAGTTGGTGTCAAAGGCATTAGAAGAATTAAAGAAGATGGAGCAATAATCAAAGTGGTATCCAAAAGAAACGCGAAAATCATTAAAGAGTAAATCGAAGACTAAGGTCTCGATAATACATTCAAGTGCTCAATACCATCAAAAAAGCTACCGAGAACTGTCATATTTGACGTAGAAAAAGAAATAAACAAAAAAAGAATTTGCAGAAAAATTAGTTGAACAAAATTATAAGCTGGAGAATAGACAATTTGAAATCTGCTTCCCAATTAAGAGCAAAAAGGTTAAGCACTGGGTCATTCAAACCGACCCAAAAATTTTCAAGAAAGTCAGGAGGAAGGCAAGTCTAAAACTTGGCTGGACTATCCACAAAATTCAAAAAATACTTGAGACCTTTGAGATGCTATAAGTGCAACATACTCGGACATATGGTGAAGGACTGCCTAAACCATAAAGTCTGTGCAAATTGTGGCGTGGAAGGAGACAAGATGAGTGAATTGCAAAGAAAGAGCAAGTGCGTCAATTGTGGTGCCAACAACAACTATAACTTAAAACTTAATACCAACCATCCTGCTAAAAAAAGAACCTGACCCTCCAACCAACGTGCAATATTTGAACTTCAATTGATGTAGGTTATTTGGCGACCGCCACCCCCTTCCAAGATAGCCATTCTTTCATTGTACATATCATCTTTTTGTGAGACCATCAAGTCGATGGTCGTTATATTTTGTTACTTGTTAAATCAATAAAGTTCATAATGGTTTCTGGAACTTTCTGGTCGGAGGATGTCTCGATGGGTCACGGGGTGGTGGTGGCCTCCTCTGCTGTCGACCTTGATTGTTTCGAGTGTCTACAGCGGGTTTAGCACCCCCCTCGATCTTCTGGGGTCTCCTTTGCCTATCGGTGCGACGCATGATGCAGATCATGTGTGACTCGGGGCCATGGCCCTCGTTTTCACGCACCACCATTCTTCCGTTCTAGCTCTTAAGCTCTCGCAATGCCGATCACCGTTTCTCCTGAATGCCCCCTGCGCAGGTGGGTCAGGGTTAAGCAAGTTTATTAGTTGTCGTAAACCCCAAAAATTGGGTCGGCTGTTTAACAACAGTTTAAAAAAAATTAAAAATAACCATGCCTAAGCACCATCATGCCTGATATCTCATTGACAGACATTAAACGCTAAGTCAAAAAGAAAATTCAAAAAAAGAAGAAAAAAAATCATGCAATTGAATCCGTTACGAAAATCAAATTACCAATTATCAATACAATTAATTTCCTCTATGGAATGAAACTTAATGAAACTTATTTTTGTTATGGAATGAAACAAAAATAGATAGTTGGAATGGAAAGTGGAATCTGGCAGAGAAAATGGAAAGTGGTCGAAATTTTAATATCCAGATTCCAACCACACAAACACAACAAGTTAATAAATATTTCGTGAAAAAGTTAAACTCAATTCGAGACGATTGAATTTGAGTAATAACTAAATCTACAATTGTCAACCATGTAAATAACTCAAATTTAAACTGGAGTGTTGTGTTTTCTAGCAAAACAAGCAACAAAGCAAACAAAACTTACCCGTCATTTTATCTTTAAACGAGATTTCGACAAACTTCTGTAAACAAACTTAAGAAAAGAAAGTAATACAAATTTAAATAACTATGTTTTGAAAATCGACAAAATAGTTCTATTCTTGTCACATTTTAAACGAAAAACGCTGAGTGAATCATCATTTTCGAAGTAAATTTATCACCACCTAAAGTTTTCTCCACGCCTTTCGAAACCGATGAGCTGAATTTTTCATTTTATGTGTGAAAAAAATTTTAACTATTTTTACCTCCCAATGAAACGTTATTTTTAAGATGAAACTTTCCATATGTGGATTCTATTTGTGTTAATTTGAATTTTAAAAAGAATCTGATTGATGAATAGAATCTGATTGATCAGAATCTGACTGAGAATCTATATGCAGAGATTATGGATACCAATGCACAGTTTTTAATTCATAAAATTGCGCAAAAAAACATTGCTCAGTATTTAATAGCTTGAGTTGTTGAAATCTCAACTAAGGCGCTTATTTATTCACTTCAGGTGTTAAGACAGTAAAATCTTTACCTATATAACCTTCAAGAAAACGTTTCATCCGTTAAGATCATTAAAGGTATTTAATGATGATATTTTGCAGTAAAATGACGCGAGTTAAATGCACTGTAGAAAGAGGTAAAAAATTTACATGTTGGCATTCTGTTTTGCAGGTGCAATTCTAACTCATTACTAAGCAGTCTGGACATTAAGTACACAACATTGAGACTGCCTATTGGGTGAAAATTTTGTTCAGCGTTATGATATTCTTTTTGTTGCTTATTATTTTCGTATTACGACTTAATTTTTAGTTCTTTTCGTAGTATTGGATTTTGTTGCTACAAGACAAGTTTTAAACATTTATAGCTTTATTTTAAAATATTGCGCATTTTTCTATTTTATCACAGTTATACTAAAGTTTTCATTTACTAT